TCAGATGCTATAAGTTCGTCTGACTTGCTTGGATCTCGGATTTTATTGCTTTTATTTACAACTTGGATTTTATTTACTAATCTCAGAAGATTATCTTGTTGCCTGCGTCTTCTTGATCTTTATAACTCTTGCTAAACTGTATTTTCAGATCCATTTTCACCTATCTTCTTGTATACTTTAGGCTTAGTGTTCTTTAGAATTCTGCGCCACTTCTCGAGATTATAGTTACCTTTTACAAGCTATTCACCAACTTGAGATAACACTTTGCAATAGAGCTTTATTATCATGTCTCTTTGATATTTCATCTGGACCTCAGTTGGTGGCCAAGTAAGATTTGATTGATAAACTTTATGCATGAGATAGTCCTCTGGATTATTTTCTTCATAATGCTGAATATAGTCAGATTCATCGGTGAGAGTCGTGTCAACAATAACCAATGCTGGCTCCATACCAAGAGGCTCTATTATTCTAACCTGAGCATACTAGTCAAAATCTGGATCACATTTAAATATTGTTGTTGACCTTCCCACTTGTGCAAATGAGCACCCTTCCATATCATCCATTTTTCTTATAGGCTATGGCTATTAAGACTATTATGAAGCAGCTTCATTCTCTTGCTAATTGTCCTTCTTGAAAGTCGGTTCTAGTTCTTTTCTCCTTTGAGCGCTTAGTTCTTGGATGGCCTTCTTGGTTTGAGGTAATATATTCACTGCTCCCTTTCTATGAATGTCTTTGTCGAGTATCAAATCCTGATGCTCTATCATATTAGTATCTAGCTCATGATTATGAAATGATCTGTATTTTTGAAGGAAAAATGGATCCCCTGGTATATCAATATCCTCAAGCAACTAGCTGAATTTATTAAAAGGCTTTTATTGATTCAAAGCTGAAAGAAATTCATTCTTGATTTCACTTGGGTCTTTGCTAGTGTTTATCAACTCATTTCTTTGCAAGTCATCTTTGAACTCTATCTCGTTGTACTGAAAATAGTCTTCTTCATCATCCTCTTCTCCTAGTATCCTCTAAGGAGGTCTAGTTTGAGTAGTTTCTGAATCATTCATCTAGTCTAAACTCAGATCACACTACATATTTCTCTTCTTTCTCTTTTTCATTGCAGGCTAGTTAGGATTGAGGCCTTGTCTAAGCTCATTTTCATAAGCAGATTTTCTTACAAAGTACATTATAAATGGGCAGTTGTTCTTTATTGATGGATTTTTAGTGCTAGCTTTACCACTTCTCGAGCACATAACTACAACTGTGATACTCTTAACCTCTCCTGTGCTAGACATTTGGAGATTAGCCCTCATTCCTCTTTTAAGCATCATTCTCTTCACTATAGATATTTTAATGAAAAGTTAAATACTTTGATAAATAAGTTTATTTCGGCTAGTCAGATTCACTAAATCATTGGCGAAATCAACGAAATCTGGAGTCTGGACCATTGTATTTTCCCCTCTTTGATACATTGCTCGGGCAAAGGAAAGTTCTCTATGTGTGACTGGCATTGGGACCCAATCAGCCCAAGGAACATAGTTATGTAATTTGACCATTTTAGAATAAAGAAGGTCCTAGTTGGCAGCTAACACTTCTCTATTTTATTCACTTGTGTTATATAACTAAGCTTAGAACTCTAACTGTGCTCTATTTAATAATCTTTCCACTATTATGTTACTTGTGATCCCATTTTACTCAGTCATATTATTACTCGACTCTTGCTTGATAAAGAATCTGTTATTAGAATTATAATCTAATCCATTATTGTTTTGACTTCTATTTATCAAATTTCTGATCTAGTTTTGTATGTCCAAGAAATCTGGACTGATTTATGATTCATCTATCTAATCAAGCATTGGATTCCTTGTCGATAGCAATGCTATCTAATTATTGTCATTATTGTGTCCATTATCTAACGCGTTATTACATATTCCATATTCATCATAAATATTTTCCGTTTTAATGCATAGTGAGTTCAAAACTTTATCCTCTGTTTACTCATCGCTTGAGTTACTGTCATCATAGAGTCTCTCATCTCCTGGCATGATTGGCAATCTTCTTTGTTACACCCTTGTTATCTTAAATGGTGAGTCGCAGTAGTAAGCACTTGGATAGTTTTTATATAATTCTGGTTTGAAGGTCTTCTCATTATTCTAGTCAACAAAAATATTGAGTTTGTTTGGCTAGCCTTTATGTCGCTTCTTTCTTTCTCTTGGTTACTCTACACTTGAAAATAATTTGTCATCTATCAGTAATCCCTTATTTTGATCGTCTCTAAACATCTCTTATTGTTGATTGTAGACTTCCTATAACTACTGTATAAAAGTTGCATCTAGTCCAGTGGCTAGGTCAGGATTAAGCATAATTTGAGGCCCTTAATTCTATCCATTTTTCTATGATTGATAGTCATGTTGGCTTACATAGCTAAAGGGAGTAGAACCTATATTTTGCTGACTTGTTGAATCACCAATGTTAGAAATTTTTCTTATCAATTTTTACTTGTTGTCCTCAAATTTCTTCTTTGCTTTGGCATACTTTGTTCTTTTAGCGAGAACATATGTTCCCCCTTTCTTCATCTAAGTGAGTTCTTGAATAATATTTTGAGGATTTTATTCTAGATGTATCTGAAATATTTCAGGCTAGCAGATTTCGAGTTCCTTAGCCAAAAACATGAAAAAAGAAGTAAGGTTCTAGTGCAATTGTCTATCAACCCAAACTTCATACTTCTCGCTTGTCTCCTCAATGATTAGCATAATCTTAAACCTTATAGGTGTAATAGCAGGCTCAGGCTAAATCGAGAAGTTATTGTAAGAATCATCGTCTTTTAATAGGGATTGGTTGCTGATTGCTTAATTGAAGGCATAGGGTGTCTCCTCAAGTTGGGAATATTGCCGAGAAAATAATTAATGCATTACAGAGGATGGATGATTCTATTGGTTCTGATATAGACTGGATCTGCTGATCTCATTAACTGAAGTGATATTAGAATGCTTTGAAAGTGCCACACCAACTTTAATTTATGAAATTTGATTGAGAGATTATTAGTTTGATTAGTTATTTTGCTTGGGACCAAATTTCAGTTGATTTTTAGTTGCTTGAGATAAAACTGAATCTTATGTATTATTAATGCTTAGCAAAGAGTTTACTTTTGCATTGAATATATCACTAATCTGAGAATCATCTTGGGTTGAAGTGCCTAAATTCTCAAAGTAATCATCTTCTGGATTTTGAGTTTTACTAGAATGGCTTTGCTATATTTATTTATCTTCTTTGTAATCTTTGTCTTTTTCTGAGTTTTATAGTTCAAGATTCTTTTTTATGTATTAAGCCACAGATCCACCTTATTTTCCATAGAGATATTTCTAATCTGAGGTCTACGCTTGTTCTCTATTCACATATAAGTAGTCCTTAGGCTGAGGCTATATATTAATTTGAGTATATTGCTTTTCATCGGTAGTGACATTTTTCTAAGTTAGTATAGGACTTTTTCTATTTTTCTTTTTCTTTTATTTGTTCTTTGTCTCATTAGTATCTGAACTCATTATACCTAAATTTTCAATCGATTAATAGCTTGTAGAGTTTACTAAAAGTTTTAGATAAGGCTGTCACAGTCTCATGGTTTACTTTTCTTTCAATTTTTAACTAATTTTAGAAAATTAGAATAATAATATTATTTTTTGCTGACATTGACTACTCTATATATTGATTAGTAATTGTGGGGTTTTGGGGTTTTGGGG